CACAATACTGAATAATACAACTGATTCACCGAGACGTACGAATCTCAGCACACATCTCGTACATTTAATCTCCAGCTCCTTGTCCTGGTGTTGTTTGAGATGGTCCATGTAGAAGAGCACGTTGGCCGTCAGCTCACAGCCTTCAGCGTACACTGGAATCATCTGAAGACAGATATACGATGATTTTAATTTCTTTTACGTAGTATACTATTTGATGTGACCTCTTAAAATTAATATTGAAACTGAAATAAATGAATTCCTCCTTACGAAACGCATGTTTATTTAAGCCGTTTTTAAATTACTTTAAGAGTTTTGAATAAAGAGCAAATATGTTCTATAAAATTGTTATTAAGACATGAAAATTTTATTTTGATTTTATGTGACATGAAAATTTGGTTTATTTTGTTAAAACTAGGCACTATTTAAGCTTATTGAGCTATCGTGCCTCGCGCCTGAGCGGCAAATGTCATAATATATTATAATATAATCGCAAAACAGTATGAGTAATCACTAGTAGATACTCACAAGCTCTACTTCATCATCAGGTTTTGGTTCTTCCCTGACGGTGTTGGCTCGTGCTAGTTCCTCAGTTAAGTACGCGTTTGTGTGTTGTGTCACGAGGAGATGAGATAGAATGTCCGTGCCTGCAGTAATATTATATTAGAACAACAAAGTTTTTCATACAGAATTGCAAATATTTACGAACTGTATACAATTTTTGCGTCGTGAAAATAAAATCTGTTAATACTACATACTTGTTTAATTTAACGATGCCATCTGGGGATTAAAATATTAATATTTTATTAGTTATTTTATTTAATTTATTTAAAAAACTTTATTGTCAAACTACACTCGTAGATACAATAGGTGGACTTAATGCCTGAAGGCATTCTCTGCCAGTCAAACCTTAGGAAAAGCAGAAAAACATGAAGACGGTTGCAGTATGTAAAAGAAAAATATACATATAAATTTCTATTGTTATATAAATGATATTTACACATATATATAGATACATATACATACACATACAAATACATATACATACACATACATATACATATACATACACATACATACATATACACATACATACACACACATACCAATAGATATATACTATATACCAAAACAATAATAAAAACAGAGACTTAATACAGATTCTGAGCAAAATGTTCCTGTACACGACGCCTGAAAATTGCCCTTGTAGGTGCCTTTCTTATTTCTAATGGAAGTTTATTCCACAGTCTGATAGATTTTACATAGAAGGAGTTAGAGAGGAAACTAGAGTGGTGGCTGGGAAAAGAGAGGAGGAGAGAGTCATTAGAGCGTAGCTGTCGAACATGATTGTCACAGAGAAATTTAAAATTATCTTTTAAGTAAGGAGGAGATTGGGGATCAAAAAGAATGGAGAAAAGAAGACACAATATACGTAATTCTCTGCGTTGGCGGATGGGAAGCCATTTGAGCTCTGCTCGACAGTGAGAGATGTGGTCAAATTTACGAAGACAAAAGATAAAACGTAAGGAGTTATTTAGGAGACGGTCAAGTTTGTTCAAAAGGGTTTCATTGAGATCAGGATAACACACATCAGCGTAATCTATAATGGGAAATATAAGGGCTTGTACAAGTAAGATTTTAGTTTTAATAGGTAAAAAATTTCTTAAACGATTAAGGCATCTTAACGTGGCAGTGACAGAACGACTAACTTCAGAAATATGCACATTCCAACTTAATGTAGAATCAATATGAAGTCCAAGATCTTTAACGTGGTGGAAGTATGGAATAGTCGTATTGTTAAAAACGATAGGTGACAAAGAGGAAATATTTAACTTAGACATGAGACGTGAGCTACCAACAATGATCGCCTGACACTTAGTAGGGTTAACTACAATGCCAAATTTATTAGACCAGTTGCAAACGTAAGAAAGATTTTGATTTATTTTGTTTATAGCTGTTTCGATATTGTCTATCTCGGAATTAGAGTATAATTGCAAATCGTCGGCGTAAAAATGATAAGAACAGTCGAGATGAAATGAAAGGAAATTTATAAAAAGAGAAAAAATGATAGGAGATAAAGTGCCACCTTGCGGAACGCCAGCAGAAAGATCAAGCCACTCGGAGAGGGACTGATTCAGCCTAACCGCTTGCCGGCGGCCGCGAAGATAAGAGGAGAACCATTCCAGAGCTGATGAAGAAAATTTCAAATGCTTGAATATGGCCAGGACGATATCATGATCAACCATGTTGAAAGCATTGGAAAAATCAATTAAGACCAAAATGGTGATCATTCTATTCTCCATGCCAACCCGAATATCCTCAGATACTTTGAGAAGAGCGGTAGCTGTGCTATGGCCTGGTCGGAAGCCAGACTGATATGAGGTGAGAATATTATTATTGTAAACAAAGGAAGAGACTTGCTTGTAAACACACAGCTCCACAATTTTCGATAGAAAAGGAAGAATAGAAATAGGTCTGAAATTATTTAGTTGGGAAGGATTGGGAACTTTAGGAAGTGGAATGATATAAGCTTTACGCCACAAGGAAGGGAATTCTCCAGATGAAATGGAAAAGTTTACGATATGAGTAATAGCCGACAGTACATAGTCCAGAATAGGTAAGATCATAGGTCGATTGATACTATCGACACCAGTAGCATTAGATGTTATTGAGATGATTATTTTACGAATTTCTTCATCAGACACTGGAGAAAGGACTAAGTCGTTAAAAGGAAGAGAGGCCATGGATTCAATCTCAGATATAGTTGATAATTTAGTATTGGGAGATAACGGAGAACTGGAAGAAAAATATCTGTTTAATATATCAGGAGAAAACGAAGAGACAGCAATGTCTTCATTCCGTTTATTTATACCTAGTGTTTGAAGAAATTTCCATACTGAGGCCGAAGATGCATTGCTCACATTAACGTGACAATAGTGGCGTTTGGCTGTTCTTACCATTAGATTACATCTGTTGCGAGCTACCTTATACAAATCCCAGTTTTCTTTGCTCCTATCAAGCTTAAACTTGCGGAAAGCGCGATCGCGTCGTGACATGGCCATTCGGACTTCTTTGGTAATCCAAGGAGCAGGTGGACGTCTGATTTTAACAGGTCTCAAAGGTGCGTGTTTATCGAACAGTGATAAAATAGACAGGTTAAAGTGAGAGACTTTGTCATCTACTGTCGATGAACGGTACATCAGAGACATGTCCAGCGATCTTGCATCTTCTTTCAAAGCCTCAAGATCAATTTTAGCTAGGTTTCGCATCAACACTATTGGAGCTTTAGCTTTAGGTGACTTAAGCTTGTATGATAAATATATAAGGTCGTGACGAGAAAACCCGGGAGCTGCAAGTTGACCATATTTAATCACAGAATTTTTAGAAGAAACTATGATAACGTCCAGCCAAGTGTCAGGCGAGTCAGAGTTATGATGTGTAGGTTCAGAGGGAAGAATGTTGAAATTCACCGAATCTATGAGTTGGGAAAATTTAAGAGAACGTGGAGTGGTTTTCAACAGATCCGTGTTTAAATCGCCCATTATAATATGCTGTGAGTAATCCGAAGAAAGGGATTCCAGGATAGGTTCAAGTGAGGAGAAATAGTCAACAGTAGGAGGACAATAGACAACTCCAAGAACAGCTTTTACACCCCTGAGACGGATTTCAAGGAATATAAATTCAGCAGAAAACGAGAAAGAAGAAGGAGAAGTAAAAAGAACAGTATAAGCAATATCCGAACGAAGGTAGATAGCAACACCTCCTCCCCCTTTGCCTACCCGATCGTTCCGAATCAGCACAAAACCGGGAAGACTATATAAGGTGGAATTAAGTGAGGGTTTCAACCAACTTTCGGAGATCAATACTGCGTCTACAGGGGCGTATGAAAAGGCTTCAAGAAAATCAGAGAAATGAGAAGGTAAACTTTGAGTGTTAAGATGACAGACATTAAAAGAGCTAGGAGAGTTAAGAAAAGAACTACATAGCAAAGTCCCAAGCGTCTCAGGAACATGGAAAGAATCACCATCTGTGTACGAGGAACAACTACTACTGCATGCTGATAAATATACATCATCATCTGTATCAGACATAATACTACAATTATATTATAAATAAGATAAAAATACGTATATGATAAATTAATTATTAAATAAATGGATTTAAATATATAAGTATAAAAAAAAAGAAAAAATAGGTATATATAAAAAACAAAAAAAAAAAAGAAGAATAATAACAATTATTCCTGCTTGTCCCGCCAGCTGACGGTTACATTAAAACTGTACTAATTATTAAATACTAATGATAACAAAAAAAAATATATATATATAAATATAAAAAAAAAAAGTTAAAGAAATAAAAAAAAAATTACACACTAAACTTTAAATGACCAGAGCAGTAGACTTAACAATGACCTTAATTACTGTTAACAAGGGTATTCTTAATTATTATTTCTACGAACAGCACCAAAGTACATAATCTAATAATCTTTTATATTACAATAGAAAACCTATATCTAACATATCTACTAAGACTAAAAATTATTAAAAATTAAAGTGTCATATATTTACATACGTTAAAATAAATATAGTTGTAATATAATATGATTATGTAGTTGACACGTTAAATTTATTATCTATTACAATTATCTTTGTCAACTGTCAGTATAGAGAAAGATACTATTTATGTCAAGTGTCAGCGTCAAAGTAATTTATACAAATACCGAAGAAAATTCTAAGTTATTATAACCAAATAAAACATAAATGAATTGAATTACAATTCAATAATACCAGAGCGGCTAAAGTGGATAGTAAAAAGTATAATAGTTTAAATATGTACATGATAAATAAAGAATACCCTTACCTTAGCAACGATATCAAAATTGCTCTGGGGATTTGTTATTAATAACAATATTGTCAAAAGAGCATAATACTCGAATAAAATAACACAAGGAACTACAATGATAAAAAAAGAAAAAATACTAAGAAATAAATAAATGAAGAACACTATTTCTTTGCCCTCACTGCTCGCTTGGGTTTGGAATTGTATCCTGATGATGAGTCCTGATTTCCGCTTGAAGGTGCCTCAGCAGCGACATCGGTATTTACAGTCAATTTAGAAAGGCTCTCCTCGGTATCAATACGATGTCTGGTGCCATCGGGAAGCTTAACAATGATATTCCCGTCTAATGTCCAACAGTTCTTCATCCCTAATCTTTTGCGCGCGAGCAAGAACAACGACTGACGTTGGTGGGTTAGAAACTCAGACAGCACAAAGGAGGAGCCCTTAAGACTAGCCTTCTTCTTCCACACAGCAGTTTTCAGATTGAGGTCGACAAACCTCACAAGCACGGGACGATCTTGCCCTCAGAATGTTTACCAAGACGATGACAAGCAATAATCTTATCCTTGGTTACATCTCTTATACCAAGCTTATTATTTACTATAGTCATTGGGAATTTGTATATTTTATATTGATTTATATATGCTGCTGGTCTAACAGTTACATAGTTAGTTATAAAATTTATAAAAGAAAATGAAAATATATTATATTGATTGATATCCTATAACCAGTGTAAACTGACTTATGTCTGTAGAGTATTCGCAGATGCAGTATAGCGTGGGAGCGGGTCTAGGAGCGGCCTCCAGTGAAAGTGAGCCGGCGCAATATCCACTGTGTCTCAACATCGCTCGGTAACATGATGTAGCATATGGACACTTGCTGCGCGACGTGCGACCGCTGTATATTGAGAATATTAAAATTATACTTTTGTATGTATTAAACATTGGGTATATTATTTATCTAATCTTTCTTCATTAGAAAATATAGAAATATTAAAAAGATGATATCACAATATAATAAGGGCTACTAAAATAACATTTTTTTTTGTAAAAGTTAATGAGTGTTTTCAAAACGATAAAGGAAAAACTACGTCTCTTTACTGACATTCAAAAAATCTGATTGTATTCAATGTTTGCAGCGTCGTTTTATCAAGTGGTTATACTTGTAAGAAGTGTTTGTCACTGTCAAGCGGCGTGTCACACTCGCGACACAGAAGACCCTCTTGTATGACCAACGTGACACCTTCATACGTGTCGCTGATGGCGTGACACGCGACGTCCTTGATGGGAGGGCGGGCTTTGTTCTGAAAATAATATATTATTATATAATTGCAGTTTGTTAATTGTAGATAAATAAGTAGCATATACAAGTAGCAGTAGAGTTATATGACGTACATACCTTGGGCAGGTTAATCAAGTGCTCAGTAGAACACAGAGGTAGAACCTCCTCGAACGGGTTGTGGTCTCGAATCTGATGCTCTTTCAGTTGACCTGAAAAATATTATACGTATTAATGTGTGTATTGAACTCATTTTATTGTAAATGAAACTAATATTTTTCGGATATACTACGCTACTTGATTTTTGATAAAAAACTACATACTCCCGACGTTTCGGCTACCTCTCAGCAACCGTCATCACGGACAGACGAGATGTGAGCGTTTATTTTTATTGTATAATGAGACTAGTAAACCCGGCGAACTCCGTTTCGCCACCAGGCTTTGTTTTATGTAACATTTCGTTTGGTGATTAAAAGATGACGACTTTCTTTATTGTTTTATATTTGAAAACGAAAATTTTAATTTCGTTTCACAACAGTAATGAATTCATTTCGATTACAGAAATGTAATGTTATTTAGTTGAACTTCTGTAAGTAAATAAAAGTGAATCAAAAGTAGATACCGAATCGAAGCGTTATACGTGTCCGCAAATTATCCGTTTCATTGAAGTGCTCCTTTGTAAACCACATTTCTTGTTTTTTGGTCTAACGTTAACACAAATAAAGCGGATCGTTTCCGAACTCCTGAACACGCAAAAGTATAACTGCCCATGTGAAAAACAATGATTTTCTAAATTTATCCCGCAAATACTAAATGGTTTTAAGAGTTTGAACTACAAACACAATACTGAATAATACAACTGATTCACCGAGACGTACGAATCTCAGCACACATCTCGTACATTTAATCTCCAGCTCCTTGTCCTGGTGTTGTTTGAGATGGTCCATGTAGAAGAGCACGTTGGCCGTCAGCTCACAGCCTTCAGCGTACACTGGAATCATCTGAAGACAGATATACGATGATTTTAATTTCTTTTACGTAGTATACTATTTGATGTGACCTCTTAAAATTAATATTGAAACTGAAATAAATGAATTCCTCCTTACGAAACGCATGTTTATTTAAGCCGTTTTTAAATTACTTTAAGAGTTTTGAATAAAGAGCAAATATGTTCTATAAAATTGTTATTAAGACATGAAAATTTTATTTTGATTTTATGTGACATGAAAATTTGGTTTATTTTGTTAAAACTAGGCACTATTTAAGCTTATTGAGCTATCGTGCCTCGCGCCTGAGCGGCAAATGTCATAATATATTATAATATAATCGCAAAACAGTATGAGTAATCACTAGTAGATACTCACAAGCTCTACTTCATCATCAGGTTTTGGTTCTTCCCTGACGGTGTTGGCTCGTGCTAGTTCCTCAGTTAAGTACGCGTTTGTGTGTTGTGTCACGAGGAGATGAGATAGAATGTCCGTGCCTGCAGTAATATTATATTAGAACAACAAAGTTTTTCATACAGAATTGCAAATATTTACGAACTGTATACAATTTTTGCGTCGTGAAAATAAAATCTGTTAATACTACATACTTGTTTAATTTAACGATGCCATCTGGGGATTAAAATATTAATATTTTATTAGTTACTATAGTCATTGGGAATTTGTATATTTTATATTGATTTATATATGCTGCTGGTCTAACAGTTACATAGTTAGTTATAAAATTTATAAAAGAAAATGAAAATATATTATATTGATTGATATCCTATAACCAGTGTAAACTGACTTATGTCTGTAGAGTATTCGCAGATGCAGTATAGCGTGGGAGCGGGTCTAGGAGCGGCCTCCAGTGAAAGTGAGCCGGCGCAATATCCACTGTGTCTCAACATCGCTCGGTAACATGATGTAGCATATGGACACTTGCTGCGCGACGTGCGACCGCTGTATATTGAGAATATTAAAATTATACTTTTGTATGTATTAAACATTGGGTATATTATTTATCTAATCTTTCTTCATTAGAAAATATAGAAATATTAAAAAGATGATATCACAATATAATAAGGGCTACTAAAATAACATTTTTTTTTTTGTAAAAGTTAATGAGTGTTTTCAAAACGATAAAGGAAAAACTACGTCTCTTTACTGACATTCAAAAAATCTGATTGTATTCACTGTTTGCAGCGTCGTTTTATCAAGTGGTTATACTTACAAGAAGTGTTTGTCACTGTCAAGCGGCGTGTCACACTCGCGACACAGAAGACCCTCTTGTATGACCAACGTGACACCTTCATACGTGTCGCTGATGGCGTGACACGCGACGTCCTTGATGGGAGGACGGGCTTTGTTCTGAAAATAATATATTATTATATAATTGCAGTTTGTTAATTGTAGATAAATAAGTAGCATATACAAGTAGCAGTAGAGTTATATGACGTACATACCTTGGGCAGGTTAATCAAGTGCTCAGTAGAACACAGAGGTAGAACCTCCTCGAACGGGTTGTGGTCTCGAATCTGATGCTCTTTCAGTTGACCTGAAAAATATTATACGTATTAATGTGTGTATTGAACTCATTTTATTGTAAATGAAACTAATATTTTTCGGATATACTACGCTACTTGATTTTTGATAAAAACTACATACTCCCGACGTTTCGGCTACCTCTCAGCAACCGTCATCACGGACAGACGAGATGTGAGCGTTTATTTTTATTGTATAATGAGACTAGTAAACCCGGCGAACTCCGTTTCGCCACCAGGCTTTGTTTTATGTAACATTTCGTTTGGTGATTAAAAGATGACGAATTTCTTTATTGTTTTATATTTGAAAACGAAAATTTTAATTTCGTTTCACAACAGTAATGAATTCATTTCGATTACAGAAATGTAATGTTATTTAGTTGAACTTCTGTAAGTAAATAAAAGTGAATCAAAAGTAGATACCGAATCGAAGCGTTATACGTGTCCGCAAATTATCCGTTTCATTGAAGTGCTCCTTTGTAAACCACATTTCTTGTTTTTTGGTCTAACGTTAACACAAATAAAGCGGATCGTTTCCGAACTCCTGAACACGCAAAGTATAACTGCCCATGTGAAAAACAATGATTTTCTAAATTTATCCCGCAAATACTAAATGGTTTTAAGAGTTTGAACTACAAACACAATACTGAATAATACAACTGATTCACCGAGACGTACGAATCTCAGCACACATCTCGTACATTTAATCTCCAGCTCCTTGTCCTGGTGTTGTTTGAGATGGTCCATGTAGAAGAGCACGTTGGCCGTCAGCTCACAGCCTTCAGCGTACACTGGAATCATCTGAAGACAGATATACGATGATTTTAATTTCTTCTACGTAGTATACTATTTGATGTGACCTCTTAAAATTAATATTGAAACTGAAATAAATGAATTCCTCCTTACGAAACGCATGTTTATTTAAGCCGTTTTTAAATTACTTTAAGAGTTTTGAATAAAGAGCAAATATGTTCTATAAAATTGTTATTAAGACATGAAAATTTTATTTTGATTTTATGTGACATGAAAATTTGGTTTATTTTGTTAAAACTAGGCACTATTTAAGCTTATTGAGCTATCGTGCCTCGCGCCTGAGCGGCAAATGTCATAATATATTATAATATAATCGCAAAACAGTATGAGTAATCACTAGTAGATACTCACAAGCTCTACTTCATCATCAGGTTTTGGTTCTTCCCTGACGGTGTTGGCTCGTGCTAGTTCCTCAGTTAAGTACGCGTTTGTGTGTTGTGTCACGAGGAGATGAGATAGAATGTCCGTGCCTGCAGTAATATTATATTAGAACAACAAAGTTTTTCATACAGAATTGCAAATATTTACGAACTGTATACAATTTTTGCGTCGTGAAAATAAAATCTGTTAATACTACATACTTGTTTAATTTAACGATGCCATCTGGGGATTAAAAAATATTAATATTTTATTAGTTACTATAGTCATTGGGAATTTGTATATTTTATATTGATTTATATATGCTGCTGGTCTAACAGTTACATAGTTAGTTATAAAATTTATAAAAGAAAATGAAAATATATTATATTGATTGATATCCTATAACCAGTGTAAACTGACTTATGTCTGTAGAGTATTCGCAGATGCAGTATAGCGTGGGAGCGGGTCTAGGAGCGGCCTCCAGTGAAAGTGAGCCGGCGCAAT